ATAATTTAAAAACTAGCAATTAATTTGAAATTGGGCACATGTATTTATGTAAATATTCTCCAAAATCTGAGGGCTTTTCCTAAAATTTACATGCTCCAGTGGCGGAGATACAGGGGATCGGTGGCATATTTTTCTAAATAAAATAGTACGCCACTGCTTTACGGTAACAACCATGATATTTTCGGATTCGTCTTTCAATTTTCTCTACTAAGTACTACTCTCTACTCTCTAATTTAATCAGATCAGATTTTGGACAATGTTCACATAAATAAATGTGCCCAATTTCAAATCATTTCACTTACTACTTTTTAAATTATTTAAAAAAATTAAAAATATTTTCTGAAGTTTAACACCCTGTGTCTTTTTAACGAAGCTTCCTAGATAAAAACTTTATAGAAAAGACTCCCCTTAAAATGCACCAAAGAATACGAGGTTTCATTTTTATCACCATTTGTGAATCACCCTGTATAGGGGCGTAGTGTAACTCACGAGCATACACGAAAAGAATTACAGAAAAATTATGACACACAAAACTACGTTTCTTTTCGAGTATTTTGAAAGGAACCCATTTAAAGGACGAATAAAAGCCATATTTTCGCTCAACATTTTGCCGCAGAGAGAAGTCCGTCCCACAATACGAACAGACGAAAATGACTTCTTGAATCCATCACTATCTATACTCTCATCCCTAACCTTTTAATGGATGTCCTTGCTTCCAACTTCTGAACCGATATTTCGCGAAAGTGCAATTCAGAAAAACAACGGGAAGCAATCAATTTTACTTTGTTTTCACCTCGGTTTTCACTATTGTCTACTTACAGGTGGACGAGTATCGTCGCCAACAGAAATGATTTCGATGATAAAGGAAAAACAGTTCCAATGAAAAGCACAACAATATCAGTTGCGCTTCGTACACAATAACACAAATAATTCTAAACAAACAATATTGTTTTAATCTGAAGTAATGTACTATTAACTGTATATAATTAATAATTAACGCTCTCAATTAAAATATGTGTCACGCGACAATTACAAAGTAGGTTAATCAAACAATGCGTTTGTTACGCTGTTCGAACACATATATTTATTTGTTTATAGGAAATGTTTTATACAGTCAACCAAACGTATTTATATTAAGACTTTGGATGATCATATTTATATTTGCTCGAAACAAGTTTGTTGGTTTTTCAATTACAAATTTCTGTTTCGTGCTACTCACAGAAGATATCAAATTGTGGACACATAGTAGATTAGATAATTCGGAAGGTTATACACGTGCTATCCCGAAATGTAGAAAACCAGTTGATAACTTTTAATCACATATTTTTTTATCAATGGAAAGGAAAGCCATTTTCATGTGAAAATACAGTTTCACAGTTAAGTTAAATTTAATTAATTTCACGGAAAAAGTTACAAAGAACTTCGCAGAAAACCTAAGCTGCGGTTATTTTTGATCCTCAACTGCTTGAAAATAATTGGAAATAATCCCTACTTTTAACTTTTTTCCTCCCAACATTACATAGAGGAAAAGAGGAAGGTATTTTAAAAATAATGTGTAATTTGTGCTTATGCTTATTTCCTTAATCCCTAGGGAGGTAAGTTACCTCACTTACCTCCCGTTGTCCATAGTAACTTCCACTTCTACCACTTACCTCCTTAAAAACAACGTACTTATTAATAGTCTATTTACTATAATGGGAGTAGATAAAATAATTATTAATATCTTTACGGGAATCTTTATTTTACTACAAGTTTTACAAATCTTAGCCAATTTTCTCATTTTCAGTGACTTAACACTGATTGGCTTCTGAGCCTTCCAATTATAAAAGCCAAAAAGGTCATTTTTGCTTTGAACGACGATAGCTCGACAAAATATTCGTAATTCTAGCATTTTTTGCGTGAAGGTTAAATGTTTCCAATCAACTGCGTTTCGATCCCAACATTTGTTCGAGCAGTGTATGGTGCTTCAAGATAATTAACATTTTATTACACCCCGAGATAAGGAGAATACTGGCACTTAAAGCCTCAATCGGGACGTAAAAGCCTTGATGGCAACACCTTGACCATAAAAAAGCGAGATGTTTTCTAATAACGTTTGTCTGGTTGGCTAATCGTTTTGCGAAGCCTAAGCAAATTTCTACGCCTAGTTCGGCACGTTTTTTTTCCTCGTTGTAAATCTCTTTGTCCCATGTCGTTAAACCGTGTGTTCATTGACTTGAAAACCGAACGGCAGTGCCTGCAGCAGAACATACCGACTGGAGACATGGAAACATGGCTGGCGTCACGTCTATTTCACTGTTTCTGTTACAGCACTGGATAGAGGACAGAAACTGTATTTGGTTTGGAATTGCAACAAACTGTAAAGTTAAAACGCCAATGCCCTAATACATATAAAGTCATTTGCATATTTCCTGAGAAGCGTGCCTCAAGACTTGACCCAGGCTGGCAAGTTTTATTTCTTACTTTCAGGGCAAAGCAGCTAAAAATTCAGAACACCGGTAAAAATTAAGAACATTTTTATTTGTCTTACGAGACAACCCTAATTGTGGTTTTTGGCATGCATAGTGACCTGTGTTCGTAACATATCTACCATAAAATAAACTGTATACCAATAAAATAATATGAAATAAAAATATGTTCTTCGACTTAATTTGAGATCAACTAAAAATGTAAATATTAAAGTATACATAACCTAACAAATTAAACAACAATATATTGAGGGTTGCTTTCGCTGTACAGCAAAATAAAACGCTCTCTCAACGGTAGAAATAAAGTACTTTTTATTGAAAACTAAGTTTGTGTTGTCAGGACGAGCGTTCGCTGGAGAGTCCCTCTTGGTGTGGAGTCGGTCACTTGCAGCATGTGTACCCATAATATAAAGAATTATATTATAATGCAAAATTCTCTGTCATGCATTTACTTGTTTGTTTTTTTTTACATTAAATGTAGGTAAACATAAAAGTCATCTACGCAAGATCTGCACGTTCTTTTCAGGATATAATTGCCGGATTGTGCGAAAATATTGTTTATTTAGTGAAAATATAGGTATATATGTAAAATTAAGAATATTTGGTGCCCTGCAAGTTAAGGCCATCGAAATTCAGGGCAGTCCACCCTCACCCCGGCTTCTTTCTATCGTTTGAGTAATAATTGATTAATTAATTATGAAAATTGGTATTTTAGCACAACATATGCAAACCAACACACCCCCCTGTCGTCAGTTTGATCTCATTCAGCGGTTTTCCATGTCCGTAATAAGAATTATTTACTTCGAGATTTACTTCCATTATTAAGCTTTTATTATTTTACACATCTTTAACATATTATTTACTGAAATAAAGAAAATATTATTGTGGGTACATATTTTTACAAACTACAACCAATAAGGTAATCAATATAAGAAAATACCTTGGAAAATACAATCCCAAATGCTTCTTTGTCAAAACTATTAAGCAATGTATTGACTGAATCATTCGAAAACATTTTATTTTTAAAATGTATTACAAACATCAACAAAATATAGTTATTATCATGTATACTTATATTGTTTTAAATATAAATATACACAATATAGATTACAAGTTAACTTATGTTTTTAGATAATCCATAGAAACTACTGCAAGAAATATTTATGCATTTTTCCCTTCGGTTTGTATATTATGGCAATTTTGAACTGCTCCAGTGTTATTTGAAGTTTTTTTAACAGTTATATCGTCCAAGCATGAAAAACCTTCAAGAAGTTCAGATATTTTACAATCACGAATATTTAGATTTTTTTAAATATATTAAACGTAAAAATTTAATCTCCTTTCGATGTTATGGAGTCTATTTCTTATAGTCTACAAGATATTCGCGGTTTTCCATGTTTAATGATGTCATTTTCAAATCTAAAGCAGACTGAAAATCCTACACAAATCTTAAAGGAACAGTTACAGCAATGTACAAATAAATTGGTTGTCAAACAAGTCATAATTTTTATTAAAAATATAATATGTCCGCACATGACCTTACAAATGTATACTAATAATAAAACAATAAAAAGAACACGTACAAAATTGTTAGAAAAACACTAAAAATGTCCACAATAATTATTAAATTAAATATTTTATATTTTTGTGATATTTACGACACTTGCAAGCTACTACCTCAACAAAAATTAGAAATTATAGAAAATAAATAAATATAATCATGTATCACATCACATTTTATGAAATCCTATCTTGGTTTGCATTGATTTAATATCTGTAATAACTTACATTTTCGTTCTTATACTTTTCGGTATACCTAAGCTCGGATATAAGATATGTTGGGACTGCCTATTTATTTGCTCATAATTTATGATTTCTGCCAAACTTCTGGAGGCAACGCTTTGAGCAATATGACTAATACTCCTCGCAAAACCGTTATAATACAAGCCTCTGCAAATTCAATCTAATATTATAATCGAGAAAACAAATCAAATTCCGCTCGACACAAAACAGAGGTTCCTTTTTGTTAGAAATTCTTTACTCGAAGGTTTTTGTATCCCCTACAACAAAGAAAATTCTTTCCATTTACATTCTACATTCACATCCAAAGGCTCCGTGTGAATATATTTTATTTATAGAACCGTCTTGCCTATGAAAATTTAACAGCAGAAATCGAGCTAGGCTCGATTAATTAATTCTATGAATAAGTTGAGGATACCGTGAAGAAAGCGGAATACTAAGCAGCTCCGAGTAACACATTTTATGGGATTATCACCGAGCAAGTGCTGTTAACCCTGCTGCTAATAAATAATAAGAGTGAACACGCTATCAATTTGATTAATGTAATAATGAACAGATAGTATTGTTTATTTTGTTAGAAAATAAACAGTGCTGTTATATAATTAACGGTACTAATTAAAATCAGCCGTCCGCCGAGTCCCATGCATCGAAAATACAAACAAGACGAGAAGTAAAAGTGGTGATGAACTGTTAACAAAGAACAAAGACTTGGAGATATGGCCAGTGACTTACCGTCAGCGGATTTTTTGTTAGCCCCGAAGAAGGTGGTCGAGGCAGCGGAGGGTTTCTTCCATCCTCTCCAGTTGTTGCAGAGGCTCTCTGGCTCCGAGCTCCAGCTGCACAGAGAGTCCTCCTCGAAACGGTCCGAGTCCTCGAAACTGAACCTGTCGCCCTCCCTGTCAGCCCAATCAAGCATCGCGGCCGGGACATCGCCGCCACCGCCTCCAGCCAAGTTTCCAGCCGCCGCCAGTTTCAAACAAAGAGCTGCCCCCTGACACCAAGACACTCACTGTAGGCTGGAAGCCTTCTTCAGCTCGACATCATCCCAGTCGAGCTGTTCTAAGACCGCACAAACACATACACCTGGGGGTTTCACTCAAGAGTTCAATATAAAACAAATATATAACCGTCTCACGACCTCCCCCATCAACGACAACAACAAATATGGCGACTGTCTCCGACGGCTAGCAGATTGCAGTCCATCCGTCCACTGGCCTCTGCCTGGTTGAACTGTCACTCTTTCCTCCCCTCGAAAGAGGCGCATTTGTCAATGATCTGATCATCACTCCATCTCTTGATATGGGACTAAAGATTGGATGATATAAACGGAAACTGTAAATGTCTTCCTAAGCTTCATGGGTGTCTACTAATAAATTATTTTAGGGATTTATTTTAATTTATTCTAAAAAATTAAAGTTATTCACTGAATCTATAAGGGTTTTTTGGCGAGAAAACCGCTAACCCGGTTAACTATAGTTTGTTGCGGTTTGCCGTTTTGGCGAGAAATGTTGTTAACCCGGTTTGGCAGAGTTTGCCTAACCATCAAACCGGACTTGTGGGTTGGTTTGGATCTTAAGTTAATATTTCTATCTTTGTTTATGTATTTTCTGTTTCGTACCTAGTAGTCACTACTTCGTTTTTTAGAGGTTTGGATAGGTTAAGTTGTAAATAAAAAAATTTGGTAATGGATTCACTGCAAAAAATAAAAAAGAAAAATTGAAAATGAAAAAAAAAAAATAGTAATCGAGGATCCAAATAACTTTAATCGTTTATTAGATGGTAAATATGCATTTTATATATTGTACTGTATAGATCTTTATTAACTTCCTTTTAGACGATACATTTGCGTTTGAATAGATAATATTTGTGAACAAGGTAAACCCATTTTGATTTAATAACCATACATTAACGTTCTTTCATGGATCTGCATTTCAGATTTGGAATAACAACTATAGTATATAAGAAATAATTAAACAACTTGAGCTACGAGCACTATCATAGATTATAGGTTACGATTTCATTATTGATTAGATATCCAAACCAAAAGAATTTTTGCGAGTTCTGTCAAATGTTAACTCAAACTCTTAACACAATCAAACTCGAGCTAACCGGGTTTGATGTGGTTTGGCTCCCCAAAAAACCCTTTATATCATAGCAAAATGTAGTCAGTTAACTTTTAGATCCTTGATAATAAAATAATTTTATGACATCAAACTGGTTTGATCAAATTAATAATATAATAAATGAAAATTGTTCAAAGAACGGCTGTTTGTTTATTGCAAATGTAAACTCGGTATTTTCATAAGGTTTCACTATTCACTGAGTTATTTAGTTTTGACAAAACAGCTTCATTTATTGTGGAACACGAGCTGAACAAGGCATAAATTACATTGCTAATGAAGTTATATTTAGAGTATCAGAGCATCCCATATTGCAACTGTAAAAATGAATTACATGTAATATGTACTATTTTTTATTACATGGGAAAAAGAGATAAAAGTGTAATTTGTATTACAAAACGGTTTGATCAAATTATGATAGTCTATCACAGGCCTTAGGTTCTAATCTAAGTTGAAAATTGTATTGTCAAGTTTTAAATATTAAACTATATATTAACGAAAAAATAGAAGTGTACTTTGTCTTCTATTTCTTGCCTCTTACCTCCGACAATGACTTGAATGTTTACTGACGTCATTTGTGGATTGGCAACGAGAATTAAAAATGTTGGCAGCTCTTAAACTAGTTGGAGAACTGAAGCGCCCTCTTCGTCCTTTTATCTCAAAAACACATTGTAAGTATTGTGGAAAGTTTATTTAATTTGCAGAATTTTGTTGAAATTAGAGAATTATTTTGAAAAATATGTGGCTAGCCTTTTAAATAAATATTGTTACAATCATACAAGCCCACAAGCCTCCAAAATATTAAGGCATATTTGTGTGATGATAATGGAATAACACCACCGTACAATTTTGTGATTACTGTTGACAGTTGTTGAAAATTCCAAAATTGGTTAAAAATCAACATTTCTGCGTTTACAGGTCAGAATGGCGCCTAGAAAAGGAAAAGTTCAGAAAGAAGAAGTGCAAGTTTCCCTTGGACCTCAAGTCCGTGAAGGCGAAATTGTTTTTGGGGTAGCCCACATATTTGCCAGTTTCAACGACACATTCGTACATGTTACGGATTTGTCTGGCAGAGAAACCATCTCCAGAGTCACTGGAGGCATGAAAGTAAAAGCCGACAGGGATGAAGCTTCTCCCTATGCTGCTATGTTGGCTGCACAAGTAGGTAGATTTTTTATATTTTAGACATTATTTAATCGTTAACCCTATACCATGATATTTTGATACGATGTCCAAGTAATTTTTATGTATTAGTCAATTTGAATGTAAATATAACCTATTAGTAGTTTAAAAATCCACGGTAAAGATTTCATTAAGTGACGAATATCTAAATACTGTTGTGTTTGACAATGATAATTTTATCTAAACAAGGCAATTAGAAAGACTAGTTCGTTTAGTTACATTTTTATAATTTTATGAGGTATATCTTTTGAATTCAAATTTCAAACTCAAATTTTTGTTTATGCCGTTGAGTAATTGCTGTCTCATTTGTTAGGATGTCGCTGAAAAATGCAAATCCTTGGGTATTACTGCTCTCCACATAAAGTTGCGTGCAACTGGTGGAAACAAAACGAAAACACCCGGACCTGGAGCACAGAGCGCGCTTAGAGCTCTGGCCCGTTCCAACATGAAAATTGGACGTATTGAGGACGTCACTCCCATTCCCTCCGATTCGACCCGTAGGAAGGGAGGTCGCCGTGGTCGTAGGTTGTAGATTCTAAAAAATGTGCGACTGGCTGTGTTCAAGTCTTTTATATTTAAGTGTATACAGTTTTCTTTTCATTAAATACTGATTTGAACTAAGAAATGTTTTATTTCATTGAAGGGTCGGCTAAGGCATTGGCCAAGGTCAACAAGCTGTGAAACCATAAAAGTTGTACATTTTAAGATATTCCGACAACTTTAATAAATTGGCTTCTCTTCATTCATCAATAACTTTGATTTATTGTGAATCTTCGGATGTATCGTGCTACATCCTCGAATATTTCAAGGATTTGATTACTTCACAGCTGATGCATAATTCTGTCAGATGAGAGTGAACGTGAAGTAATTTAGTTTTGTGAAGTATTTGCGGATGTGAAGTAATATGTCTGTGACACTTTTTGTGTAGAAATGAGTTTGTTAGATTATATTATGGTAAGTTTGAAAGAAAATGCATTACTATCTTAAATTTTACAAGATGTGACTAAAAAAAAACGGTTTTCATTTCACCAAACTTTTTAATACATCTTTAAAGCGTTTATAAAAACGGTTCCAATGTTGTAGAAAATATTAAATTATACATTATCCTTAAATAATTAAAGGTACAAAAAAATAACAATTCAGATCACTATTTTTAATTGTTCAGCTCAATTACAAGATGTAAAACAAGCTTGAGTTAGTTTGTGAAGTACAATTAGTACATCCAAAAAGTGACACTTTATCCAGAAATGAGGTTAAATCAAATTTTATGGTTTGAAAGAAAAAAAAAATCATTTCACCAAACTTTATTAGTACATTTTAAAGCATCTATAAAAGGTATTCCAATACTTTAAGAAAATACGTTAAATTGTGCATTATTTTAAAATAAATACATAAAAAAATAACAATTCAGATCCCGAACTCAACTACATCACTATCGTTAATTTTTCTGCTCAATTACAAGAGACGTGAAATAAGTTGAGTAGTTTGTGAAGTATTTGTGGATGTAAAATAGTGACACATTTGAAACAAAAGATAACGATTAGTAGTATTTTAAAAGCATTTATAAAAGCTGTTCCAATAGTGTAAGAAACATTTAATTGTGTATTATCAGAGTAAACATAGTACAAAAAAAAACATAAACATTTCACAATTCAGATCCCAAACTTGATAACGTCACAATTCCCATTTAATTCTACCCAATAATAGCAGATGTGAAACAACTAGATTGTAAAATATTTGTGGACGTTAATAATGTGACTCCGAAAAGTGACACTTCATCCAGAAATGAGGTTAAATCAAATTTTATGGTTTGAAAGAAAAAAAAAACTCAGTTCACCAAACTTTATTAGTACATTTTTAAAGCACCTATAAAAGGTATTCCAATACATTAAGAAAATACGTTAAATTGTGCATTATTTTAAAATAAATAAAGGTACATAAAAAAATAACAATTCGGATTCCGAACTCAACTACATCACTATCGTTAATTTTTCTGCTCAATTACAAGAGACATGAAATAAGTTGAGTAGTTTGTGAAGTATTTGTGGATGTAAAATAGTGACACATTTGAAACAAAAAACAGCAATTAGTACATTTTAAAAGCATTTATAAAACTGTTCCAATAATGTAAAAAACATTTATTTGTGTATTATCCTATTATAAACAAAGTAGTACAAAAAAAACATATTTCACAATTATTCAGATCCCAAACTTGATTACTTTACAATTATTGCTGTTTGATTCTGCCCAATAATAGCAGATGTGAAGCAACCGAGTTGTAAAATATTTGTGGACGTAAAATAATGACATCCAAAAAGTGACACTTTTCATCCAAAAATGCGATTAAATCGTATTTTATGGTTCGAAAGAAAAAAAACTCATTTCATCAAACTATTAGTACATTTTTAAAACATCTATAAAAGGTATCATAAATAAAAAAATGAGGTATCAAAAAAATAAATTATTTCACATCACATTATAGCGGCTGTGAAGTAAAGTATTGTGGACGTAAAATATGACATCTAAAAAGTGACTAAATAAGCTTGTTAAACTGCATTTTATAGTGAGTTTAAAGGAAAATACATTACTATCATAAACTTTGAAATGTAAAAAATGATTTAAAAACAAGCATGCTCATTTCACTAAACTTTATTAGTTTTTAAAGCATCTATAAAAGGTATTCCAACATTTGAAGAAAATATATTAAATTGTGCATTATCCTAAATAAAAAAATTATATATAAAGAAAACAAATCGTTTCACATCCCAGATTCAACTACTATACAATTGAAATTGAATTCATCGCGTTATAGTGGACGTGAACTAATTGAGTTCGTAAAGTATTTGTAGACGTAAAATAACATCTAAAAAGTAACTAAATAAGCTTGTTAAACTGCATTTTATAGTGAGTTCGAAGAAAAATACATTACTATCAAAAATTTTGAAATGTAAAAAAGGATTCAAAAACAAGCATGCTCCTGATTTCACCAAACTTTATTAGTACATTTTTTAAGCATCTATAAAAGCTGTTCCAATACTGTAAGAAAAAATATGAAATTGTGCATTATCCTAATATAAATAAAAAAGCCATACATGAAAAAAGCATAAATAAATCGTATAATTTCAAAATTATTCAGATCCCACTAGCTGCCCAAGGTGTAAGAAAACTTTGACCTTGTGATCGTATTTTTGCGGCTCTTTGTTCTCCACTTTCGAAGCGATCGTGTTCGTGTAGATGTGCTGCATGATAAATCCGCAGACAACCTCGGAATTCAACGACAAATCTGATATTGGAGTTACGTTCAGCTTGACAAATGCCTTGTTGGATTTCCTCCATTTTACCAATCTAAAAAAAAAGAATACAAGAATAATAACACGTCTAGATTGTTGAAAGTTCTACTTACTTTGGATCATCTTGAATGTTGTGCGTGTCTCCAGAATCATCATATTCAGCTGCGTCGTCTCTCGGGGGCAAAATGAAACTGCTCGTGGGAATTTCCACATCGCAGTTTACTTCCTGATCGATCATTCTGGACTTTATGGTTAGTGAGGGTTGACGCGATGAAACGCTTAAAAGGCTGCTTGGTTGGCTTGTCGACAAAGGCAGGGAGGTCAGAGACATAGGCTGCCTCTAAAATAGAAGCATATATGTTGTTTTTTTATAATTAGCATATTCCTAAAATATTTTTTTGTGTTACGTGTAAATTTTCCTCAGTGTATATGTTCTCGAATGCAAATGCTGAAGAATAATATGTGGTACCCTCTCGCGCACAAGTTACTGTGAAATTTAAGTAATTACCTCTTGAAGCGACAAGGTGTGATCCAGATTTTGAATGACCTCGGCCACGTCCGAGTCCAAAGAAGCCTCTTCTTCCTGCATGTCCAACTTAAGGAAAGTTATTGACGTCTGGTGTTGCGTGGGGTTCGTAAATTTGACTATCAATTCGCATTGCCTACCCGCCCTTAGGGGTTCGACCGTTACGATGCGTATTTCCGGGATATGGTAACTGAAATGGAAATTAACCAATTTTCCTCATATAGGGCGATACAATATTCCACGATAAAATTCTGTACACGTAATTCTCTGACCAAAAAAAAAGTTGAGAAGGATATGTGATGCGTTTTTCAGGTGTTTTATTTTTCACATAAACATTAACATTTAATTTTTCAAATGCTGTAACTTTAAGAAAAATTAAAATTCTATAAAAAAAAACAAGAAAACACCTGTTTGTATCTTTCAGTTAAGGGGTTATCACTGATATAATTTTTTTTTCTATTTTTTTTTTATTGGCTTAAAGTACACTAAAACATTCCTATATTCATAATAAAAAACTTTTTTGCATGAAAAAACTCACAAATATCCGTAAAATTAATTTTTCCAAAGCAATTCCGAAGCGTAAAAATAGCAGATTTCGCTTCTTTCGTCGATACAGCATTTTTGAATTTTATGCATGTAAAAACGCCTATAACTTACCGATCATCGAAAAAATACTTCAAAAATGAACCAAAGATGTCATCATAAGCAAAAAAAACGTTATTATACACGGCTGGAAAATCCACATATACAAGGATGGTTATATTGATGACGTTTTATAATCTGAATAGAAACGGGAAGTGACTTCAAATTATGAAACGTCTTCACTATAGCCATCCTTGTTTATCCCATGAATTTTTTTACTTTGTCGCTCTCATATAAAGGCAGACGGACCATGTAGATTTTCCAGCCGGGTATACTGAATATAAGATTTTTCCGATGGTTAGAGCACGTGCGTCGTCAATCAGGTGTACGCTGTAGTTTGAGTTGTGCTATTATTGTGTTTGTTATTATTTGACTTTATTGATTTGTGTGCAATGATGAAATATGAGGGATAAGTTGTATGCAGGCCGTAAAGGAAGTAAAAATCGTACAGTACAGCCCGTAAGCGAAGTAAAATTGGAAATAGACGTCCGCCTAACCGTCATTCATTCGAGTGCGATCCGAAAATTTGATGATGATAAGTGTGAAAGAGAAGTAAACGAGTCTTTTGGGTATCGTTTCATTGATTTCACGAGCAAAATACGGCCATGGAAGGGCAATTATACGGTGCCAGGATAGCAGAGTGATGGAAAAAAAATTTTATGCACCATATTATGATTTCCAAAAGTTACAGCATTCTCAAACTTCAAACGCGTTTTTCTCGAAACCATGTTTTTGTAATCGGCGAGCAGCAGAATTTGAAGTTTTCATCCGATTGCCTTGAAAATTGAACTGTAACTTCATCGTGTGATTATCTAGTGAAGTACACACGATTTTTACAACTGGTCAACAGGATTTTTTTATAAACAATCAGTCGATTTTTTTGTCGAAAATTCGAATTATTAGTTCAATGTCTCGCCAGTTTGCGAAAAAAATTTCTAAAATTATGTTCGTGTGTACTTCACTAGCTAAACTCGTGTAGTTTATAAAAAAAAAATTTTATGCTTCCAGACGGTGATCCAGGAGACTTCTACTGCTCACCGCGAAGGACCTTTGAAAAATTTTGAGTTGTTCATGCGCATCTATAGCCGCCATTTTGCAAGAAATTTTCAAATAAAAAATTGTGTTCTTACTCCTGAAGAGTTGTTTAATAGATTGGTGTATTGGTAGTTCATGATTATAAACAAAAATGCTCAAAAAAATTCTTGAAAAAATCCTTTTTTTTTGGCTCCAAAGTGATATAACCCTTTATGAAAAAAATATTTTACAAAAATACGTGCAACTATTTACGAGATCTTAGAGTCGGCCACTCTTACTTTAATTTTTCTTTTGCAAATTCCGTTCGAGATTTTTCAGTTCTATATGTGGGCCCGAATCATCTCTTAAAAAACAATATGGGTCTCACGCTTCATTATAAAAATATGATCACTTTAATTTATGCCAGTCATCGCCAAATATAAACCATATTTTTGGTCAGGGCAAAATTGCAACTACTACAACATAACACCTCTAACACTTGTTTTAACGATAAGTTTTTATACTGAAAACGCAGTTTTTCTAATTCCGCAAAAAATATAACCTTTACTTACTACGCAAACAGTTGTATCTTGAACTTCACGGAGCTAGGGTTGTATTCAGGCTTGCTAACGTTGTGCTCGCAAGCCCTACATCTCAGAGACCTCTTGATAGAGAGCTGCTTGTGAACCGGGAAGAGCTTGTCGACTGTGGTGGGTTGTGCTTCGGGCTGCAGCAGCCTCTGCTGTATAGTAGTTACTACAAATGTGATCAAATCGGTTTCTTTGTTGGAATTGGAAAACAAATATAACGCACTTTGTCAACAATTCGAATGCCAAGGTAAATCCGTAAATCACGTGGGTGTGGACGACGCGGGAGCGTGCCAAAATAATTAATAATGACATGGTGTCATAAGAAAACTGAATAAATTATATAAGTTGTTGAATAATTGCAAGTCTCTCAATTATTAGTCCAAAAATATACGGCACAATGGTTTGGCACATAAAGTGCAGGTGTGTCCTAGATTTGACTTTGGCACAGGTGGCGAACTTGTTATAGTCATAACTTATGAGGTTCAATTATGTTTAAATTTGTAACAAGTCACCACAGTAACTTAAAATTCCACGAATTAAATTAGCCGGGACGTTATTTTATTCTGCCATACATTAACGATGGAAAGCACGTAATTTTAGATCGACTTACCTTCCATTAAATTTATTGGTTCTGTAAACAACTCCTCTGGCAGTTCTTCCACTTCGCTCTTTGCAGTGGCTGGTTCTGGTTCCTTCGGTTTATTCTTCAACATCGAATGAGTAAGGTCAGCTGGAAGTCCTATACGTTTTCGTAAAGCTGCCGCAGTAACACCTGTTCTATCCTAGAATTAAACATGAAATCACTACAAAAAAAAAAGGAAGAATATTTAACTTACCGTATAGCTTAGAAACTTTCCTCTTTGTTTCTTCTTGTCTTTGTCTTTCTGCTGCTTCTGAGCCAATACAATGGCTTTATACATATCTAACAGTTCTTGTAATCGATTTACATGGACATTCTCCCTTTCAGGCCAACCACCCGTAACTACAACACAAATAATAACAAAAAAAAAAAAATAAATAGACATTCAAGTAGTACCAGTTGTCTGATCAGGGATTCCAACATCTCTCGAGCTCCATCGACAGAATTGACACGACAAGTAATACATTTTCTTAGGTGTAGACTTAGTATCTTCTGGATTAACTGGTCCCTTCGAGGCAATTCTGGTTGACAATTCCTGCTGACAACTAGGGCAAATGTAACAGTTGCCACACCTATTTTTCTTCACTCTGGCTTCAGAGGATGGGATGTTTTCAGAACATTTCCCACAAAAATTCGAGTCGACCTGAAGAGACAGCCATAGAGAGTAAACGAATTAAACAGCGGTTTATTAAATTTTACCTCATGACACACACAGAAACTGCAACGGAGCTGTGAACAGTACCGGCAAAAATATAAGTGAGATATAGGCTTTAATAATCCGCAAGTGCACGCGTATTTTACAACTTCTGGGCCGGTGATATAAGACATTTTCTAACTTGTGCAAATTAAATTCATATAAAAGTTTTTAACATGATAACTGTCAGTCACCAGCAACCACCAACAGTCATCAAACTGACAGTATAGTGACAGGTGAATGACAGTACTGACAGCAGTAATTGACAGCCATTTAATCAACAGAGATACCAACATAGATTAAGAAAAGTTGCTACGTTACTAAAAATTTATATAAATTCTGGAATAAATTGTTGAAATTGAATAACCTTTTATCACATTTATTGAATTAGAAAATATTTGTGAACGAAACTAAATAAGAAAATTTTATTTTGGCAGCGAATACAAAAAAATAATTATTTTAGGGCAGCCTTACTGACTGAAAGAGCTTTTTCTTTTATTCATGATTTCAGAATCATAACGCGTTACGATCCGAAATTTAATACTGATGCCGACAATTAAAAACGATTTTGACACTTGACGACTACCCCATTTCCGTACACACACTGTACTGTACAAGTATCATTTATCTAGGACTGTACAGTGTACACTAATTGACTAATTCCTTTCATGTTTCTGAACATTGCCCTCTACAATCTTTTTTCTGAGATGTTTATTTTTTAGTAACCTCACCTCACTTTTTCAAAAGTTTAAAAACTTACGAGTTGAATGATTCCTAAATTTTTTTATTTATATCTAAAACATGGATGATTCACTAAGTGATATCGCTGCAGAGTTTCAAAATGAGTTATTAGAAGGAGAAAATTCAGTTCCAGGTAGTTAAACAGCAAACATGCATAATTTAAATTAATATTTCTCAAATCTTTAGGAACTTCAGCAGAGAAAACTTCAGAAAAACCCAAAGTCTCTAGTAAAACTCACTGCTTATTAGTAAACCCAAAACAACGTGGAAACCCTTTATTAAAATCTGTGCGAAATGTACCGTGGGAATATGACGACATCGTCCCCGACTACCAAATGGGGCAAACTACGTGCGCCTTATTTTTGTCACTACGCTACCATAATTTAAATCCAGATTATATACACAACCGCCTTAAACCTCTCGGCCATATGTATCAGTTAAGGGTATTACTTGTACAGGCAATTATATACTAATCTCAACAATTTCATTAGCAATGCTAATTACTGAACTTTCTAGGTGGACATAAAAGACCCTCACTATGTATTAAAAACCCTAACTAGGATATGTATTTTGGCCGACTTAACTTTAATTTTGGCCTGGAGTCCTGAAGAAGCCGGTAAGATTATCGAGACATATAAAATATACGAAAACAAGCCCGCTGACACTATTAGGGAAAGGAACGAGTCGTCACCTTATTTAAATGTAACGAAAAAAATTTTTATTGTAGACCGATTATAACTTGGTATTTTTTCAGCTTATTCAAGCTTTAACAACCATAAAGCCTATTAATAAAACGGATGCTATGACGCTGTTAAACAGATTTAAAACGTTGGAAGGTGTTGTAAAAGCGTCGGAGTATCAATTGTCAGAATGTCCGGGTATCGGACCAAGGAAAGCGAAGAAATTGTACAGTGTTCTACACGAGAAGTTTTGTAAATAGGTTTAGGAAGCAGGTTTAAAACAGAAAATAACTCGCTCGTAATAACTCGTAATACTTTTATTTTATTAAAACAATATTAACTTGTAAATATATTTGCTTATATCAATATCATTCATTTTTTTTATCCGCTTCGCTGGAAGAATCGGGATTCTTAGTATACAGAGTTATTATATACATTGACGCAATCGCAGGAATCACAGAGAATATTATAACGGCGTGATGCCCGATAGTATTGCATAAAACACCAAACGCAACAGGCGTTATCAAACCAGCAGCAGTCTTCAAGGGATTATCCAATCTCGCGAGGGATTCTTCTTTCCTCGTGGCGAATAAGTCTCTCCAAATGGAATCGATGAAGGTACTCAATAATACTATAGGTATACACATTTTCATGTACATCAAGTATATCGGCGAATAACAAGCTACGAGTAGACACAATCCAAGATACCTAAATGAATTTTCTGCCAGTGTTACCGGCGAAAACGAAGCGTACCAATCTTTCGCGATGACCGCAAAATACGTGCCGAGAAAAGTAAGGCTATTCATATACGCGTAAGTGTTGCCTACGATAACAGGCGAAGACTGGTAATTGTGTTTTAAAATTTGTGAGAACTTCCCGTAAAATATCATAATGCACGAGACGTGCAGGAATTTTATCGCCATCATGTCCCAGTTCTTCTTGTATTGGCAATTTCGACAATCGCTGACGATGCTGTTTACGTTCCGATATAGTTTGTCTAAAACAGTCCTCTCGTTGGAGTTTTCTTTTGAGGTATTATCACTAAGAGAAATAGTTGTGGCAAGACCTGAAATTTGTTAAAAGATAATTTATTCTGTGATATCTCAATTCGTCACTTACAAATATTGATAAGTGTTAGCAGAACTGCGAGTAAACCTATATATAAAAATCCTATTTCAAAAAGGTAACCAGCAAACATGGGACCTATTATATAGCCAGATCCGCTTAAAATACTGAAAATCGTTAAATGATCGTCTTTCATGCTCGGTTCGGCATGTCGATGAAGTAAGTCTTTACACATATTTTGACTCTGATTTGCCACAATACCTACAAGAAAAATACGCAAATTATTATACATCGCGTTCCGTTACTAATGGACAAAATTTTATTGAAATTTTTCGACAATATAATATTTGGAAAAAAAACAGTTTCCACACTAAATTTAAAAGAAAAATATATTTTACTTACTGTAAACACATCTGCCGAATATAATAAACCAGTAGCTACTTGTAACTATCAAAGAAAAATGTGTCAGCATTGTTATAAATAATATAATAACCATGCCAGATTGTCTTTGATTAACTTTCGTTAAATAAACCTAGAATCGTCATAATTGATTAAATTAGCATTAAAAGTAAATTAATATTACTAAATCGTCAGATATCAGGTTGCAAATAAGGTATCCAATGGATAATACTCCAACTACAACATGGTCCGCTCCAAGGGACTGTATATACGTGGAAAGAAATGGATACGTAAGACCAAAACATATGGAATCCTAAAATATACATAAAATATTATAACAAAAGTAATACTTCAAAGATATGGTACTTACTAATAACGTAATTATATGTAATTTATAAATTAGTTGCACAGCCATATCAGAAGTTAAGCAATATTTATCTCAAAATATTTAAATTAGAACGAACTGCAGATGTTTCATTCTCTTGCTAAAGGTACAGAGAATAATTTGAAGTATAGCATATTGATTTTGAAGGCTTTACTTGTACACTTTCATCTCGGTTTCTTAAATCTCATTTTCCGCATTGCAATTTTCTCCGGTTTACATTTTTTATTTTTTGTTGTGACTTAAAATTTGACAGTTGAACTACTTTCACAATAACGACTAGAGATAGCCGATCCACATTGCTTCAAGGCTCTCAGTGGGCGTATTTTTAAAAATTCTTTAATCAAATAAAATTTGAACTGATAGATTGTTTTTTTCTGCACATAAAATGTATGAAAATTAAATTATCTGGTTACGTCACATAAGAAATGCGTATGCTTCACAGAGCCTCGACGTAAAATAGATCGCTGCCTCTAGACTAGACTAGTGCCTACTGACAAGTCAAATCCATAGACCTTATAAACAGGGTCTATGGTTCTGTCATATTACGTAACATCTGAATGATATGCAACCAGAAATAAATCAAATATTGATTCTACGAACAAAAAATATATTTTAGAATTAATTTTATACGATATATGACCAGCTATAAAAAAGTATTATGTTATTAAAAAAAGCAGTTGAATTAACAAACATCATTTATTTTTATCTTCAGTATTTGCTACATACTTTTTCATGTACAAAGTGAGAAACACACACAAACCTGAAGGTAATATACCCACAAACATAACAGATTTTTCTGTAAAAATATCACTAATTACGCCCGTCAGAAATGGGGTTAAAAACTTTGCCAAGGACATGACGCTGTTCGATGCTCCCGATAAGGACCCTGTGTGCGATTCGTCGGATTTCTTTAACATTAACTCCATACTCACCACCCTTAAAACGGTAGACGCGACAGAAAAGGGCACCATCAGCAGTAAAAGAACCGATATGTTTGGAGAAAAAGCGATAGCCATAAAACAAGAAGTCAAGAGTAAAGAAAAGTGGAAAAGTCTTGTAAAACAAGTAGAGTCGTCTTTGTAAAAACTGTTAATTTGGTCTAGAAAGAATGCAGAAAACATGCTGATTGTGCCAAAGAAGGAAATAATGTAGCCAATGTGCTTCTGGGATAATTCGTACTTTTCCCGTAGATATAACGATTGATTACTAAAATAACACATTATTGCCAAACAGAACAAGAACCGCAACAGAAAGCTGTCCCAATGAACTTTCCAATCGATGTCATTCAATTCTTTCACTGTTTTAGCAAATTCTCGTTTTATACCTGTTATAAGAGAAACATCATTATTTTGAATATTCCTGATTCTGGATTCACTTGGTAACAACGTGGCTAAGCCTAAAAAACGTTAAGTTAACTTTAAAAACCTCCAGTCTCACCCTGTAACTTACCTAAATTTACAAGAAATGCCAGTGCTGTAACCCCACTTACATAAGTGAAGCCATGTTTTATTTCCGACAAGTGGCCCCCAAGGAATGGTCCAACAATAAAACCCAACGAACTCAGTGCAGCAGATCTTCCATAAACCCCAGTTTGATCACCCGGTGGTATTAAATCCGATATCACAGCCTTGCAAATGATTTGAGTATGATTTGTAATTCCTACAAAATATTAAAATGATTTTGGCAATCTAAAAAAAATGCTGGAGTTACCAAATACAATTCGCAATAGTATAATACACAATATTGAAGTTGTTAGTCCCAGAAAACCATAAGATATTGCACATAATAAAAGTGTTATTTTCAAAACTGACTTCCTACCCCTTACATCACTCCAACCACCCTGGAACGAAAATGTATTTAATAATGTAATACAATTTTAATACTTATTTTGTAATTATATAATCAGCAAGTTATACTAACAATAAGAGGACCTGAAAATAACTGTAATCCAGAATACACTGATGAGCATACACCAACCAAGGTGTGTGAAGCTCCTAATTCTCTTAAATGATTTGCAAATAGTGGAAATGTTAGTCCGACAGCAAATAAATCCTGAAATCAGAAAAAGTATATTAGGTTGGACTATAGCTCTTACCTGATGGCAGTAACAGCAGTAGCTACAGACATAATAATATTAAAAACGAACAAATTAACAAATAAAAATATACTAACTAGAAAAGAAATGGCATAAACTAAATTAATTGTGCTGATTTCCATCATTTTAAATTTATTATTGCGTTTATACATTTAATTTTTTTACGCACGTTAGTAGCACCAACATTCCATGATAGAAAATTGATGTCTGCATTTTATCTCATATTTGAAAATCATGATAATAATGAACGACAATGATGACCTCCAGATTAAATAAATAAAAAATTATGGAGACATTGCTAACTATCAACGAAACTAGCAACTTCGTAAATCGTAACACTTGTATATTTACATATTCAATACCATAGATTAAAGTACTTAAGTAGTATTACCATTTAAGGATCATCCACATCTGCGCGAAATTTTGGCGTTGTGAACTTTTCGCCGCAAATAGGTAATTGCAAGCAGCGCGGCAGCGACATTTCATACATATTTAAAAAACGATTCTTTCGTGACAAAAATGAATAATGAATGGATATGAAAATATTTTATCATCTAGAATTTATCGTAACATATTATCGAGAAAATTTCGATATAAAGGAACTTTGCACAGCATGCGATCGCGTGCTACTAGAGAGAAATAGCAAATGCTCTCCTATACCTCTCTCTCAATATATATAACCTCCTATACCCTTTACTCTCTTGGCCAATTTCACCAGTTCCTAGCGGGCAGCCGACCAGAGCACACGTGTTTTGTGAAAGTGTAGTGCAAGGAGCAAATTCTACCTGCCTTTATTAAGGCTACCTGGAAAGAATCCCTTTCTTTCCTTTTAATCACCGACCTAATCCCCGGCTTAAGCATAGACGCCGTCGGCATCTTTGTTACAGCACCTNTGATGAGCATACACCAACCAAGGTGTGTGAAGCTCCTAATTCTCTTAAATGATTTGCAAATAGTGGAAATGTTAGTCCGACAGCAAATAAATCCTGAAATCAGAAAAAGTATATTAGGTTGGACTATAGCTCTTACCTGATGGCAGTAACAGCAGTAGCTACAGACATAATAATATTAAAAACGAACAAATTAACAAATAAAAATATACTAACTAGAAAAGAAATGGCATAAACTAAATTAATTGTGCTGATTTCCATCATTTTAAATTTATTATTGCGTTTATACATTTAATTTTTTTACGCACGTTAGTAGCACCAACATTCCATGATAGAAAATTGATGTCTGCATTTTATCTCATATTTGAAAATTATGTTATGATAATAATGAACGACAATGATAACCTCCAGATTAAAGAAATAAAAAATTAGGTTGTCTTGTCTCTGCAATTAGTGTCATCTGTCATATTATCTAATATTTGAATGATATACAACTAGAAATACATTTAAATATTGTTTCTACTACGAACAAAAAAAAATTACATTAAAATTATATAGTCCACAGTACAGGCCTCCTCTGGAAAGTTGATTACCACATACTTTATAACTCCTGAGGTGCATCCTTTTAATGAGTCTACCACATTTTTCCTCTGCGACTTTTCTCGATTCCTCCGCTTTTCCACTCAGAAAAGTCCAAGAATATGGCAATTTCCCGGGGTCTTGAAAAGTCAAGACCACATCTTTTATTTTTAGCTTAAGTAACTGGAAATTTTGTTGTAAATGCTGATTTAAATTTGTCCAACAGAAATTCTTCCGACATTGACGTGTCTACCGGTCGAAACATGCCAAAATAACAGGGTATTGAAAATCAATTACCACATAGGTAATTTTTAGAAAAATTAATTGTAAATAATTAATTCAGTAAAAAAGTATTGTTGTCCGACAAATTTCAAGCCGCGTTTTTTCAGTCCGACAGCTGGAAATCGGAATTTTCACGGGGTATGAAAAATCGATTACCACATCTAATTTTAATTTTTTCCACTTTTAAATTTACTGTACAAAATAGTGATATAAGTGTCCGACGATTTAATGTCCGCAAATTATTAAGAAATCAATAAATCAATAAACGTGATGAAATTGAATTTTTTCACTCCAAAAATTTCATATTTATACATGGTTATTAATTATTATTATGTAAATTATTATTTGTTTCAAATAAATAATTATAATATTGCTTATTTTATGTTTAAAAATTTAAGTTATAAACAAATGAAGTTATTTTTGAGGCGAGTAATACGATCTTAGTGCATAATGCATTATTTCTAAATAAATTAATATATGATATAAAAATCTTTTTTTCTCTTTCAAGTTTTCATTCGCGTTTGTTATTTTTCTTTACAAAAATTTTCCTATTTTTCTAAAAGAAAATCCCAAAACTTTTGCGCATATTTTTTTTACACCATACATACTTTTTTGAAATCGTTTAATTCTTTTCTCGATATTTATTTGGCTAAATTGAGTATATAGAGATTTACAATTACAAGAATAAAACGAAAAATATATACAGGGTGTTTCAGAAAGACCTCCCGTAAATAAAGGGGGTGATAGTCTTATGAACTATATGTCTATCTCCTCTTGTTTTCGAGAAACAGAGAGACAAAATAAAATTTTTTAAATAACATTTTTATGAAAATTTCCAAATGGTGCGAAATATTTTTATGAAATTTGGTAGCCCGAGGTTTTTAAGGGTGCCAAATACGCTAGTCTAATTATTTTTTGTATATTTCATAGAGGGCGCTAGTTATGCTACATTCTTATTAAAATTTAAGTTATATTTTTTTTAAGGTTAGGTTTTTTACCAGTCAGGCTCTAATTTCTATTGTACAATTTTATTTTCTAAAAATAATGTACTCTTGTTAGAACTTCCTAATATAGACGATTTTCGAGAAAAAAGGCTTTTAATTAAACTCTTCTAAAGAGAAGATAGACATAGAGTTCATATGACAAAAAAATCTTATTTTTTGTCGTCCTCACCCCCTGTATTTACGGTAGGTCTTTCTGAAACACCCTGTATTGTATATTTATATGGAATTTTGCTCAATACATGAAAATACCTTATTAGAGATTATAAATACAAGTGCACATTTTTTACGAAATTTTTTTCATCAGTTTTTGTCGGACTGACGATTTGCTGATATATTTTTGTCGGACATTACAATTTTTGCTTACAAAAAACACTTTTCTATTGTGTGTTAGTTTTGTCCGACATGTGGTAATCAATTTATCATACCCCGTGAAAATTCCGATTTCCAGCTGTCGGACTGAAAAAATGCGGCTTGAAATTTGTCGGACAACAATGCTTTTGGACTGAATTAATTATTTACAATTAATTTTACTAAAAATTACCTATGTGGTAATTGATTTTCAATACCCTGTTATTTTGGCATGTTTCGACCGGTAGACACGTGAATGTCGGAAGAATTTCTGTCGGACAAATTTAAATCGGCATTTGCAACAAAATTTCCAGTTACTTAAGCTAAAAATAAAAGATGTGGTCTTGACTTTTCAAGACCCGCAAAATTGCCATGTTTTTGGACCTTTCCAAGTGGAACAGCGGAGGAATCGAGAAAAGTCGCAGAGGAAAAATGTGGTAGACACATCAAAACGAAGCTCCTCAGGAGTTATAAAGTATGTGATAATCAACTTTCCAGGGGGGGCCTGTACTGTGGACTAATACGACCAGCTACAAAAAAATATTGTTATTAAAAAAAACAGTTGAATTAATAAACATCATTTATTTTTATCTTCAGTATTTGCTACATACTTTTTCATGTACAATGTGAGAAACACACACAAAACTGAAGGTAATATACCCACAAACATCACAGATTTTTCTGTAAAAATATCACTAATTACGCCCGTCAAAAATGGGGTTAAAAACCTTGCCAAGGACATGACGCTGTTCGATGCTCCCGATAAGGACCCTGTGTGCGATTCGTCGGATTTCTTTAACATTAACTCCATGCTCACCACCCTTAAAGCGGTAGACGCGACAGAAAAAGGCACCATCAGCAGTAAAAGAACCGATAAATTTGGAGAAAAAGCGATAGCCATAAAACAGGAAGTCAAGAGTAAAGAAAAGTGGAAAAGTCTAGTAAAACAAGTATGGTCGTCTTTATAAAAACTATTAATTTGATCTAGAAAAAATGCAGAGAACATGCCGATTGTGCTAAAGAAGGAAATAATATAGCCAATGTGCTTCTGGGATAATTCGTACTTTTCCCGTAGATATAACGATTGATTACTAAAATAACACGTTATTGCCAAACAGAACAAGAACCGCAACAGAAAGCTGTCCCAATGAACTTTCCAATCGATGTCATTCAATTCCTTCACTGTTTTAGCAAATTCTCGTTTTATACCTCTTATAAGAGAAACATCATTATCGTGAATATTCCCATTTCCGGATTCACTTGGTAACAACGTAGCTAAGCCTAAAAAACGTGAAGTTAAATCACTTTAAAATTCTCCAGCCTCGTCCTGTAACTTACCTAAATTTACAAGAAATGCCAGTGCTGTAACCCCACTTACATAAGTGAAGCCATGTTTTATTTCCGACAAGTGGCCCCCAAGGAATGGTCCAACAATAAACCCCAACGAACTCAGTGCAGCAGATCTTCCATAAACCCCAGTTTGATCACCCGGTGGTATTAAATCCGATATCACAGCCTTGCAAATGCTTTGAGTGTGTTTTGTAATTCCTACAAAATATTAAAATGATTTTGGCGATCTAATAAAAATGCTGGAGTTACCTAATACAATTCGCAATAGTATAATACACAATATTGAAGTTGTTAGTCCCAGAAAACCATAAGATATTGCACATAATAAAAGTGTTATTTTCAAAACTGACTTCCTACCCCTTACATCACTCCAACCACCCTAGAACGAAAATGTATTCAATAATGTAATACAATTTTAATATTATTATTTTGTAATTATATAATCAGCAATTTATACTAACAATAAGAGGGCCCGAAAATAACTGTAAACCAGAATACACTGACGAGCATACACCAACCAAGGTATGTGAAGCTCCTAATTCTCTTAAATGATTTGCAAATAGCGGAAATGTTAGTCCAACAGCAAATAAATCCTGAAATCAGAATAAGTATATTACCTAACAGTAAAAGCAGTAATAAATACATAATAATATTAAAAACGAACAAATTAACAAATAAAAATGTACTAACTAGAAAAGAAATGGCATAAACTAAATTAATTGTGCTGATTTCCATCATTTTAAATTTATTATTGGGTTTATACATTTAATTTTTTTACGCACGTTAGTAGCACTAACATTCCATGATAGAAAATTGATGTCTGCATTTTATCTCATATTTGAAAATCATGATAATAATGAACGACAATGATGACCTCCAGATTAAATAAATAAAAAA